TTATTCCCAAATCCAGGGTCACTGGCTCTGCCACATTCATCCTGTAGACCCTCAGTCAGGAGTGAGCAGAGACCAGAGCACATGGCCTTCAGGGAAAATGAGTTTTCTACACTGTCAGTCTCTCCAGGAGAGACTCATACTGGCCATTTGACTGAAACATATGTGGCAGTGTGGGACAGAAGCACCGGTGTGAGGTGAGCAGGGACCACAAATAACACAAAAACAAATAAAAATTCAACAAAAAGTCCAAAAGAAAGTATAGCGCTGTGCCACGTTACCTCCAGACTGGGCTGACCCTATTTAGCGGGGTCTAGTCTGGTAGAGCCGGGCTTGTAAGACAAAAACAAAACAACAACTTTGTGTATTTAAAAAGGTTTGTGTGTGTGTGCCTACCCCAGTGACAATATGCAATAAGACAGGCAAAAAGAAAAGTAAAAGAACACCTTATGCGGGTGCAATCCCCTCTGGGACTGGTGGTGTAAACTCTCCCCTCCCGGGGTGTCCCTGCTTGTCCCATTGAGGGGTGTCCACTGTGCCTTTATAGGAGCCGCCCAGCTGGGGCTCATCAGCTGGAAGCCCTTCAACCAGGGCTCCGCCTCCACACTGGACACACCCCCGCGAAATGCCACATACAGACAGAAACTCCTACAAGGAAACTTTGTTGGATCTTCACAGCCCACTGATATTACTTGTAGGATGTTACAGAAACATGAGATTGAAATACATCTCCTTCTGTTTACACACCAGGAATAACCATCTCACTCTAAATAGACTTTCTGGACTCAGGAATTCAATAACCCCAGACAATAGGGATTAAAACAGCATCTCTACCATCAAGAAGACACAGTCCTACCTGCAGCACTGCACAGCCACTGCCATTCTGAAACACAGAGACACACTGTTAATCACAGTCACACACTGGAACAGAGAGATACAGACACTGTTAATCACAGTCACACACTGGAACAGAGAGATACAGACACTGTTAATCACAGTCACACACTGGAACAGAGAGACACAGACACTGTTAATCACAGTCACACACTGGAACACAGAGATACAGACACTGTTAATCACAGTTGTTCAATGGTAATAAGACTTTAGTAAAGTCAGTACTGTCAGTCAGCAGAGTTTCACACAGTGTACATACGTGGTTTTGGGATAGGAGCTCGCTTCACAGGATCTGCAGAGAGAGAGAGCAGATTTTCATTGTATTAAAGACCATTATTGCTTCTTACCTGTTATTTACCAGAGTTTATACTACAGTCTGCAGTCAGTTCATTTCAGGATCCCCAGTCTCCACTGCAGTGTGGATCATAGCAGTGATTTCATAAAGAACCAGCGGTGATAGTGAGAACAGATCATTGCTCAGTCATATGTTTTACATTATTGACTGATCTCTCACAGCATGAGTGACCTGTACCCATAGTGACCAGATCACTGACTGAGTGACCTGTACCCACAGTGACCAGTATCACTGACTGAGTGACCTGTACCCATAGTGACCAGTATCACTGACTGAGAGACCTGTACCCATAGTGACCAGATCACTGACTGAGAGACCTGTACCCATAGTGACCTGTACCCATAGTGACCAGATCACTGACTGAGTGACCTGTACCCGCAGTGACCAATATCACTGACTGAGTGACCTGTACCCACAGTGACCATAATCACTGTCTGAGTGACCTGTAACCACAGTGACCAGTATCATTGACTGAGTGACCTGTACCCACAGTGACTAGTAACATTGACTGAGATACAGGGATGTCCTGCTCACTGGTCACACTGAATGATCTCTGGACATCAGCTGATCATCAACAGCAGCGACCAGACGTGTGGGGTGGGACAGCGATCCGTCAGCTGGAACCTCCTGCTCACAAAGCATAACGGAGTCATGTAGGATGAAACTATTTAACAATGTAGCCTGGTGGGGTTTCTCCAAAGTAAAAGAGCACTGGACAGTACTGAGGGCTGAAGAAAACCCAGAAAAACCTGTTC